ATGTCAACTCCGAGTACGCCTAGCGGTGGTGCTGTGGCGGGGATTTTAGAGAGGAGTTTGTCGGCAACGTCGAGGATTAGGCGGAAGTTCGGGTGGTTAAGATCAAGATCGTCGAGAACGACATGGTCGGAGAATGAAGAGAGAGCAATCTCGGCGAGAGATGCACGGAAATTGAAAGCCAAGCTTGACAGGTCAAAACTGAGCGCTCAAAGAGGACTGAAAGGGTTGAGGTTTATAAATAAGACAACCGGTACGACGTCTGAGTCGAATGAGCTGTGGAAACGAGTCGAGTCCAGGTTCAAGTTGCTTGCTAAAGACGGTTTGCTTGCTAGAGAAGATTTTGGTGAATGTATAGGTAAATAGTTACTTAATAATAATCACTGGTTAAAAATAAATAATTTTATGTTTGTTGTGGGGTTTCTGACATGTTGTGTGAGTGATTGTGTTAGGGATGGTGGATTCAAAGGAGTTTGCGGTGTGTATATTTGATGCACTAGCGAGGAGGAAGAGGCAGAGAATAACGAAAATAAGCAAAGAAGAGCTTCACGATTTCTGGTTACAGATTTCTGACCAGAGTTTTGACGCGCGCCTTCAAATTTTCTTTGACATGTGCGTCTCTCTCTCTCTCTCATTATTTTCACCCCCGAATGTTTTGAAAATCATAGTAGCAATTGGGATTTGACGATCTTTAAGTTCTACGTACAAACACAACGGTGGTGTTTCACACTGCATGACCACCGTCGTCTCGATCTGCCTATATTTTTTAGGCGTTTGATCAGTTCTCTGACAAGTTCTAGGGCTCTTTAATTAATCTGCTGATAGTCTGGTTATAATTCCAACCGGAAAACGAGAAACTTGAAACTTCTGGTGCATTGGGGTTTCTGACATGTTGTGTGAGTGATTGTGTTAGGGATGGTGGATTCAAAGGAGTTTGCGGTGTGTATATTTGATGCACTAGCGAGGAGGAAGAGGCAGAGAATAACGAAAATAAGCAAAGAAGAGCTTCACGATTTCTGGTTACAGATTTCTGACCAGAGTTTTGACGCGCGCCTTCAAATTTTCTTTGACATGTGCGTCTCTCTCTCTCTCTCATTATTTTCACCCCCGAATGTTTTGAAAATCATAGTAGCAATTGGGATTTGACGATCTTTAAGTTCTACGTACAAACACAACGGTGGTGTTTCACACTGCAGCATAAATCTGAGGTGGTAAGCATGCATGACCACCGTCGTCTCGATCTGCCTATATTTTTTGGACGTTTGATCAGTTCTCTGACAAGTTCTAGGGCTCTTTAATTAATCTGCTGATAGTCTGGTTATAATTCCAACCGGAAAACGAGAAACTTGAAACTTCTGGTGCATTGCAGGGCAGATAGCAATGAAGACGGAAGGATCACGAGAGAAGAAGTGCAGGAGGTAATAATATTTTCAGTAGTATAATATTATTCTCCCAAAAGATTCCTAAATAATATTACACTACTGACTGAGATGCACAATACCAACTATGATAGAATTGCTATTCGAAGAAATAATTCAATTAGATTTGTTATTTTCGGGTGAAAAGCATTATTAGTTGTTTATTACTGATGGTGTTGTTTCGCATGCATTCACCTGTTTTAGAAAGTGGTATTATTTCTTAATTCCTTTAGCATTAAAATATATAGGTTTCTCACAAATTAAGCAAATTAATCGGAGACATGTTTTACAAATGTGTTAACTACCACCGGTCAAATCAAAGTATTTGTCAAGAAGCATATTTACATGACAGCATCCTACATTTTTTTTTTAATTTATTATTATAAAGTAGTTAGTTATATGCACATCATGATGAGCAAGCGATGACAAATAATATTTTAGCTGTGACATTATTACTTTCTTTTAATCCCAGCTTATAATGCTCAGTGCTTCTGCAAATAAACTGTCAAAGTTGAAAGAACAAGCAGAAGAATATGCTTCATTGATAATGGAAGAACTTGATCCTGAAAACCTCGGATACATTGAGGTAAATCACAAATTCAACCTTCAAATGATCATCAAGCTGCTTGTTAACCTCAGTTCCAGCTTTTTGAATAGGCCAGGAGTTGGTTTATTTTTGTGTTTTTGAGATTTATTTATTTATTTTTTATTTTAAATTAAATTTGTTGAGATTTTTAAATTTAAAAATAATATTTTAAATTAAATTTGAGATTTAATATTTTAAAAATAATATTTTTAAATTTAAAAATAATATTTGAGATTTTGAAATTTTTTAAAATAATATTTTTTAAATTAAATTTTTTGATATTTTTAAATTTTATTTAATTTTTATTTTAAATTAAATTTTTTGATATTTTTAAATTTTTATGATAGTTAATATTAAAAATAATATATTTTAAAAAATATTATTTTAATATATTTCTAAATAAAAAATAATTACTACCATAATTTTAAATAATTTTAAATTTTGCCCACCTTACATTCAGCCCGAGGACTCCTCGGGCCTCGTCATGAAAACCCCATGTAGTGGATGCCACAAATCACTCAATTCACTATATTTCTTTCTTTTATTGGTTTCATGATTTATTATAAATTTATGGTTCATGTACTTGTATTTAATATTCAGTAATAAAGTCACCGGAAGATTCATGGCTAAAAAAAGTAACGGGAAGTTTTCTTGACTTTTTCAGTCCTACAACTTACAATTAGGCATAGTTTTTTCATTTATTTTTTTTAAAAAAAAGATTTAAGAGAAAAAAGAGTTTTTTCCCACTTTCAGTTATGGCAGTTAGAGACACTTCTTCTACAAAAGGACACATACATGAACTACAGCAGACCATTGAGTACAGCAAGTGTAAGCTGGAGTCAGAACATAAGTTCAATCAAACCCCAGAACGTGATGCATCGGCAAAGCTTTAAATTGAGGAGTTTAATTCTAGAGAAATGGCAAAGGGCTTGGATTTTATCCCTGTGGGTGGTGATAATGGTTGGCCTATTCGTCTGGAAATTCCTTCAATATAAGAACAAGGCTGCATTTCACGTCATGGGCTATTGCTTGGCGAGTGCCAAAGGTGCTGCAGAGACTCTCAAATTCAACATGGCTCTAATTCTATTACCTGTTTGTCGAAACACACTGACTTGGCTTCGGTCCACTCGAGCAAGGTCATTTGTTCCTTTTGATGAAAACATTAATTTCCACAAGGTAAGAAGGCTTACTATGCTAATTATATATAATTGACAAAGGATTTGTACAAGTTAATTAATAGATAAAAAAAAAAAAATCAAATTCATATACGATTTGCCTTTGCTTAAGGTTCTGTTCATAATTAATGATGGAGCAACAATCCGAGATTCTACAAGCCAACCAAATGAAAGAAGTGAATATTTAATAGAAACATGCTAAAAACATCGTCAGTCCCTGACCCCCTCTTTCTTTTACCTTATTTTCCCAGATGGTTGCAGGCGCTATAGTAATTGGAGTCATCTTGCATGCAGGAAACCATCTATTATGTGACTTTCCTCGTCTGATAAATTCGTCTCCTGAAAATTTTGCCTTGATTGCGTCTGATTTCAATAATAAAAAGCCTACATATGAAGAACTTGTGACTGGTATTGAAGGCGTGACTGGGATTTCTATGGTGGTGTTATTGACCATTGCATTCACTCTAGCAACAGGCCGCTTCCGGAGAAATGGGGTGAGACTACCTGCACCCTTCAACAAATTGACAGGTTTCAATGCGTTCTGGTACTCTCACCATCTTACTGGTGTGGTCTATATTCTGCTGATCGTCCATGGAACCTTCTTGTTCTTAGCGCACAAGTGGTATCAGAAAACAGTAAGAACTTTCGAAGCTTTTGTGACAAGATAATCAATAATTAGCAAGTAACATCTGTTATTTTTCTGATTTTCCAGACGTGGATGTACATCTCTGCTCCCTTGCTGCTCTACATGGTTGAACGAAATGTGAGAACACGTAGATCAGAACATTATTCTGTAAAATTATTGAAGGTAATTAGTCAAGTTCTTGGAGGCTTTATCGCTGCTTTCTAGATGACTTCTTGTTTCTCTTGGCAAGAAGAGAGTCTAACATGACCTGATTCGGATAGGTGTCAGTGCTACCGGGAAATGTCCTTAGCTTAATCTTGTCCAAGCCACAGGGATTTAAGTACAAAAGTGGGCAGTACATTTTTCTTCAATGCCCAGCAATTTCCTCCTTTGAATGGTAGTGTTTCTGAAAATAACCAGTCCTGTTAATTACAATAATTATTATTATTATGAAATATGATCATGCTTCAAAGAAATGAACCAAGTCCCTTTCAGGCACCCATTCTCTATAACCTCAGCACCGGGGGATGACTATCTCAGTGTTCACATCCGGATAGTCGGAGACTGGACGGAGGAATTGAAGCGAGTTTTCACCGAGGAAAATGAATCGCCATCTGTTATTGGTCGTGCCAAATTTGGTCAACTTGGGCGCATGGATCAAACAAGGTTATTTAAACACTGAGCAACTCCACTGTATTAGACTTGCATTCAAACAATCTGTGAAAATATTGAGGCAAAATGCCTGCATTGCTGCAGACAACCAAAGCTGTATGTTGATGGTCCATATGGGGCTCCAGCACAAGACTACAGAAATTACGATGTCTTGCTTCTCGTGGGGCTTGGCATAGGAGCTACCCCTTTCATAAGCATCCTTAGAGATCTTTTGAATAATACACGAACAGCAGATAATCAAATGGTAAATGTCATTCCCTGAGATTTCATCTATATATATTATACTATTATAAAGTGAAGATTCACATCCAGCAATTGATTTTCTATGTTTTACTAGGATTCAAACACTGAAAACAGTCGGTCAGATGACAGTTCAAATAGTTATGCATCTTCAAGTATGACACCAGTTAGCAAGAAGAGATCACAGAGGACTACCAATGCTCATTTCTACTGGGTTACTAGAGAGCCTGGATCTTTTGAATGGTTTAAAGGAGTCATGGATGAAGTTGCAGAGATGGATCACAAAGTAAGACAAAAACTTCCAACCCATGTTCATTCTCCATGTCTCAAATAAATTACCACGGCTATCATTACAAAGTGAGAGGTATTAACCTTCCCTTTCTTATATAACGAAATAGGGTCAAATCGAACTGCACAACTACCTTACAAGCGTTTACGAAGAAGGTGATGCAAGGTCAACTTTGATCACCATGGTCCAAGCCCTCAACCATGCGAAACATGGTGTTGACATCGTGTCAGGCACTCGAGTATGTTCCCTGATAAATATAAAGTTTTAGGTTGTCAAAATTACTGTAGACAACAAAGTCAACCCGCCAATCAATAACTGGTGGTGGGAGCTAGGAAATCAAATATTCAAAGCACCGCAGTGGGAAAGAAACCTTATTCATCATTTGGCTCTATTTTGTTGCAGGTAAGGACACACTTTGCAAGACCGAATTGGAAAGAAGTGTTCAACAAGATTGCTTCGAAGCATCCGTTTGGCACAGTAGGTAAGGAAAGCATACAAATAATAAAACACCATTTTCTTGTATTGACCAGATTACGATTGAAAATGCAAGGCATCGATCTTCTGCAATCTTTTGGTAATAGACAAGTATTAGTAATTTTTTACTAAAAAACAGCTTGCCAAATTACATTGCAGGGGTGTTCTATTGCGGGATGCCAGTGTTGGCAAAGGAGCTGAAGAAGCTATGCCAGGAGCTGAGTCACAAGACAACCACAAGGTTTGAGTTTCACAAGGAGTATTTCTGAAGCAAGAGGAACACCATTTGAAAGTCAAGCTATTATTATTATTATTATTATTATCATCATCATCTTTTGTAATTACTAAAAAAAACTGAGGGAAAATTTATATGTATACATGTCCTATATGTAGCTCAGAAAGATGTAGATGCGGTTATCTACTATATTGATATAGCAATGGTGTCCAACACAAAAGAGAAGTTCAATAAAAAATTAAAAAAAAAAAAACAGAGAGAGAGAATTTTAAAGGATTTTCGATGCTTCTGCTAATCTGTCTAAGGATTCCAATGGTTGAAAATACTTCCTGAAAACCTTCAGAATGGACAGCTTAGCTGTGTTGACACAAGCAGCTGTTATAATATTGTGTTCACAGAGATCATTGCAATTATTTTAATATAAACATGCTGTATTTCCACATCAAAATGGAGAAGGGCCATAAGTTGACTTCAATAACATGCCAGCAAGGCACTGGGGTGGTGAATGGAAAGGAAATTAATAAGCTAATCAGACAGCACAGAGTGCAGTGCAGTGAATGGAAAGGAAATTCACATGCCATTGGATTCTAGGGCTGCATACTTGAATATGATTTGATGAATAAAGCCCACAACAACAGAGATTACCGGTGTTATATAGGGGGGAAATAGCCTGCAAATAACTTATACTTGTATCAATGAGCAACTTGCAAAATGTTAGAATGTAATAGGATGTCATTGGCATGAGACACAGACAAGCATAAGCAACTCTATCAGTTGTATGACATACAAAGGGTTTTTACTGCGTCAGTCATCTTTCAACCTCCTAAGAAGCTTAGCAGCCCATCTCCGAACACGTTTCTTCAGCGTGTACCCAACAACAATTCCAGCAACAAAGAAAATTGCACACATCTTTGAGCAAGTCCACAGAGAAACCATTTGCCTGCAATTAGATGAAGAATCACACGGTCTATAAGGAAAGCCAGAGATGCAGTAATTACAATTCAGTTGGCAATGACAGAACCAGAGCCAAATAATACGATTTTGGCAGCACTGTAAATCAGACCATTTCTTGGAACTTAACTAAAAATTGCGGAGAACTGAGAATTTAAGAGAAATATCTGAAAGTTATTCAGCAAGCATATTTGTCCAAAATCTGGAAACGAAACATTCAAACTGCTCTAACTAAGAACCAAACCAGTTGGGAGATTTTGGTTGCTTCCTCGCTAATTTAATAGAAATTTACACAAGATTGTGACACGAAAGACCACATATGCAAACATGAGTTACCATCATTGAATAAACTTTTCAAACAAATCAAAGACATTATTTCCTATGAAGGATAGGATACACAACTACACATTAACATTTGCAAATGTGAACTTCCGTAACTTTTTCAATTCACAGAGGCATGGTGAACCATTTTTCACAGGAAAAAAAAAAAAAAAAAAAAAAAAAAAAAAAAAAAAAAAAAAAAAAAAAAAAAAAAAAAAAAAGAGTCTACAGATAATAATTAGCACTACAAATCCCAATTGATCAACAAAAATTAAGTGCAGAACATGGAGCAGAATCATAATCCAATGAGCAATAAAAAGATTCTATTACAAAGACAACAATTACTTTATCCCTCAATTATAGATACACAGCCTTACAAGGAAATTGAGGGCTCACTCAATATCATAGTCAGCAAGTAATTGGACGATCCAAAAAAGGAAAAAAAAAGTAAAAAAAAAATACTCCAAAAGAAAAAAAGAAAGTAAATAACTGGACAAGAAAAGCACCTGGGAGGCCTGGTGATCAAAACACGAGACTGGTCCGGGGGAGATAAAGCTGCAGTTAATCCAACCTTTTCGCTTAAGTTGTAAGAATTACCAGACAAGGAAGCCCCTTGCTTCGTGTCCTGACGTACAAATTTCAGTAATCCCTCCATTTTGCTATCTTACTTTTAGGTTTCAAACAACTACAAACAAGGAACAGAGATATTTGAAGAATTGAAAACCCAAATAGTCAACTATAGCTGTTTTAAGTTCTACCCAGAAAATAATAATAATAATTGGATTAGAAGGCTAGGGTTTAGGGTTTTGTATTCTTTGCCGGTTAATGCTTTAGAACTGGCCCTGTCGACGATTTGGAGGAAATAAATTGCAGAGAGGTCCCTAAGCTTTGTGATATCCTACATGCACTCTAAATCAATTCCAGATACCTTTTTTTATTTCTCATATATTTAGACTAAATTAAATAATATTCTAAATTAGTTATGCGAAAATATAATTAATTTATAACCAATCATTAATGAGTAAATGTGGAGTGCATTAATGAATAGGCAATCCAGGAGCAAAAGCCATGGACGCATATCTAGATCGTCCTATATTTTACTTTCTTTGGCTTATGTTGTCCCATTTGAATTGCTAGTAAATAACAAAAAAATTAACACTTCATTTTAAATAGATCTTTTATTTTTTACCTAAAAAAACTTTTTTTTATTTTTTACATCTGATATTTTTAAGAATTGGTATTGTGCCTCAACTTGCAAGGGCCTTCAGCATAGGTCGATGCATTGTATGGAAGTTTTATCGGCATGATTGTTCTGGATTTCAACCCTATATATGATCATACACTCCCATTTCATTCTAAATGAATCCATCATCATTCTTAATGTTATATATATATATATATATTCCCCCATCTATCCATAGGACGCATGGATAATATCTTGAAGTCGTGGCAACTTTTAGACTAGATTGAGCTTTTATGGTTGCATTTTTAGTTGAAATGTGTGAGCTTGAGTATAGATTTTTTCTATAAGCTTCATTGTTACTATAAAAACAAATTTCTTGTAGAAAAAAGGATCCTTCAATGCTTTAGTTAGTAAATATAGAAAAAGAAATAATACATAGAAAAGAGAATTATAATAAATATTGTAAGGAGTGTGATTGAATAAATTAGTGTTAAATCCTTGAATGTGTTTACCTCATTTAAACTTGTTAGATTTCTCAAAACTTTTAGATATAATAAAAATGATAATTTAAAAAAATAAGAGTCCGGATCTCATTAGATAATCTAAGATCATTTAGGATTGGATTGAAGACTATATTTTTCTTTTGAGTTTTGATCAACTTTTTTCAGGCTAAATTATCACAAACCATAAATATTTCAAGTATCTGGTTTTTAACAATAATCTATAAAAATCAGAAGTGAGAAATCTCTTAAAACGCTTTTTAGGATATAGGAATCTTTATGTCTTAAGTGCTAGCTTTTTATTTTCTATACTCTACTTATCTGTATAGGTGGAGCGTATACAATATGTTTTGTGATATAACTTACAAAAAAAACACGAAGCACAACATTTTATTTATAGAAAAACACTTGACAACCTTATAAATGATAAAATATCACTTTGCCAATTGAATACAATCAAATATATTATTTCAGATTACTTTTAGAAATTTACTCAATTAAATCCCTATTTGATTTTCTAGGTTTATAATTGTAATCTCTTGTAACATTTACTTTCTAGTTCTCAATTTCTAAAACTTATTCATAATCAAACCACACTTGATTATTTATTTCAGTTTAATTTATGACTAATAGTTCTTAATATATGTTACTCATTAGGTTTCTAATAAGTTGATTCAAATATAAATCATAATCTTAAATAAACTAGGATTAAATAAACTAAACAATTTAATTTATCATCAATTTAATAATTGATTGATTTATATTTTAAGATAAAGTGCATTCTCAAGCAACGTGTGTCATAATCCCTTCAATATCAGGAAAGTCACACATGATTTGACTTAACCTTTTAATTAACAATTTCTTCTTGTAATTATTATTCTTTTGATCAGTACTTAAAAATGTATTTTTATTAAGGTTTGATATTATTATTTTATACTTGAAATATCAATAACTTCTCAACTACATCATGTTTTATAATAACAATTCTGATAATATAGAATATCTTTAATTTATGGTAAATATTTATTTTAAATACAGGTCTATCATATAAATCAAAGGATTGATTGATGAGTTTAACTACTAAAATTAAGAAGATAAAAAGAGGGTTAAGCTTAGAAAAAAAAATGCTGATTGAATTCAAATTGGAATACCATTCGGTTATTGGATCATAACTGGAGCTATAGAACTTGGATTTACATTCGGTTTATATGAATAAAAAGCTAAGACATAAGCCTAAAACTTTTATGAGAGTTTAAGATTCAAAATGATCGTTTTTAAGTTTAAATTGTAGCAACAATAGAGAAGTCAGAATTTGTCTTGCAGCCTAGATACTATTTAGTATTCAGCCTATATCTCGAGTTCTAGAATTCCAAATGATCTCATTCTTATTTTGTTGGAAAGTTGATATAATTTCTCAGAACTTTCATGAAAACTATCTGTTTAAATTTTGATGTTAGCAATAACCTTTTTGGCAAATAAGAAGATAAGAATTGTTACCCATTCAAAAGTTGATCACCCACTCAACAATTTACCAATTCAAAAGTTGATCACCCACTCAACAATTAATCATCAAATCAATAATTCTGAATTTTGATCAATAAAAAAAGGCATTTGTCATGCATTTAGGCATCTTGATTTTCAAATCAAAATCATGTTCTTGCTCTCTCTCTCTCTCTCTCTCT